GTCCGCAAGGCCCGGGCCGAGCTGGGCAGCGGCAGCAGCTCGGGCTCCGCAGCCCCCGCCGCGACCACCTGCAGGGGCCGAAGGCGCCACTGCTGCAGCAGCGCCGAGGCGGAAACCCAGACCAGCTACACCAGCGTGAAGGTAAAACCACCTGCGGGGGGCTGGGTGTGTGTGCGGAGGGGGGACGGGGGGGGGCGCTCCGCCCGGGCAGGCCTCGCGTGGGTCGGGGTGGGCTGCGGGGGGGGGACTCGGGAGGAGTTGAGTCGCAGTGACGCGGTGGGTTTTGGGGGACCCTGTTACTCGCTGAGGAGGAGTAGTTTACTTTTTTTTATTTGTGGGGGTGGTGGAGACCTGGGAAATGCGACCTGAGAAAGACCCTCAGAGGGGCTCAGGGGGTGGTCCGGTGGGGGTGGAGGCAGGTCGAACGAGGGGAAACAGTTTGTCTGGCCTGCTTCTCGGGGAGGGGAGGAAGGCTGTGGCCAGATTTATGTTGCAGGAGGGTGTGTGTGTGTGTGTGTGTGTGTGTGTGTGTGTGTGTGTGTGTCTATCATTGAGAGAAATGGGGGTGTGTTTTTTTTGGGGGGGTGTCTGCCTAGTAGGTAACTGGTGCAGACCCAGTACCAGAATCGCAAGCACCTGCTTGTATTCACATGCACTACCTGGGAAAGCCAGCCAGGCTGGATGGAGTCACACAACACAGGGACCCAGCGCTGGGATTTGTGAATGAACGGGTTCTGAGTAAGCTATAGGAAAGGACTGGAGGAAGAGGAACAGAGTAGAACCTGTTGTTTGTCACTGTAGTGTGCCCCTGGGTTGGCTGCGTCCTGGAGGTAATTGAGAGAACCCAGCCCAGCTACAAGGAGAGGACATGGTTTCCAGTTGCGGTGCAGCATCTGAAGATGGAGAGTCTGCACAGACATCGCATCTCTGGGGAGAGTGCAACGGGGAGGGAGTGGTTACAGCAGCCACTGGCCATGTCTTAATGATGATGAAAAGTTAATATTCCAATAGTGACCTTCTCCATTTTCTATCCAAGATGCTTTTCATTGTGTCAGTGTGGACACTGGCCTTTTTCTTTAGAGCAAGCAGAAGGACAATGTGTATCTTCCTGCACAGAGGCAACGATGTCCCCTATTTCCTGAGTCCCCACCCCACCTCTGTCCATCCTGGGGTTTGAACTCAGGACCTAGCCTTTGTCTCATATCTTTTCCCTCGGGGCTGGTGCTCTTTTACTTGAACCACAGCTCCACTTCTGACTTTTTTCCTGGTGAATTGGAGATAAGAGTCTCATGGACTTTCCTGCCTATCTGGCTTTGAACCTTGACCCTCAAATCTCAGCCTCCTGAGTAAGATTACATACATAAGTCACCTGCAGCTGATTTCTCCCTGATAATGCTGGATAGATGCAGCTTTTTACATGGTTCGGAACCATTCCACGATTCTTTGGCAAGACACAATTGTAGATTTAATAGTTAAAGGCGTGTTCACTGGCTGATCTAAAGAGAGGAGAGATTGGTCTTCATTGGATAAAGTCATCCCACAGTGAAGGAGGGAGGCGAAAGATAGCTTGCACTGACTTCAGTTTGAAAGAGCAAAAGCTTTATTTTTATTTTTAAAGAAATCAGTTTTTAAAAAGCAGCACCTGATCTTGAAATACAAAATTTAACCAATATTACTTAGAGTTTCAGTATTTCTCTGGCAATGATCAAAGCACCATTAGAAAAAAATATTATTGACTGAGCACCTACTTTTGCCAGCAATAAGTTTCTCTTTTTATTATTCAATGTTAACAGTGGGTAGTGTTAATATCTAAAGATTAGAGACCTGGCTTCATGACAGTATGGGCTATCATTTACACGGTTTTAACAGAGGCATGCGCTTAATACTAAGTTTACATATTTTCTTACCCCTCAACCTTCATCGCCAGCCAGTAGTTCATATAAAGTTAGCACCAAAAGCCATTTAAAGATATTAAAATGTTATATTTGGTGACATAATTAAATTGGGGTGTTCCCCATAGAGACTGTTCTGTTGGCTGGGATTGGTGATACATGCCTGTAGTCCTAGCTGCTCAGGAAGCAGAGGTAGGAGGATCTTGAGTTTGAGGCCAGCCAGCCAGCTAAAGTGAGCAAGACACAAAGCAAGGGAACTAGGAGCATGGCTTAAGTGTAGAGTGCTTGCCTAGTCAGGTCCTGGGTTCAGTCTCCAATACCACAAGACAACTCTTTTGCCTTATTGTTGAAAAGAAAGTTTGAAAACCAGGGCTGTATTTCAGAACAGTGACCACTCCGTGCTATTTCTCTTTGCTTGCTCAAGAGGCATCATCTATTTTTGCCTTTCGGATAGCAAAGACCTCATTTTAGTATCTGGCAACTCTAGCTACTCAGTGTTTGTTTAGTGAAAGAGAGTATAATGAGCTAACCCATTCTCTGGGTTTTAACACTTCCCTCAAGAGGCTACTTAAGAAACCAAATGGAGTAAAAACTGAAGCAAAAATGAATCCCAGTTATTAGTTGCTAGTATCAACTTGAATAAATCTCATTGCTACTTGGCTTAAGTGTTAAAAGGCTTGACCTGGGAAGGAATTTAACTCACTTTGCTTTAGCAACAAGATTCCCAAATAAGAGCTTAGTTCATTTCAACCCATTACCAGGAATGTTGGAAATAAAATGGCCACTTTAGGGATCCAATGCTAATTTGCATCCTATTGATCTCAAATACTATGAATTTGAAATTCAGTTTGAGACCAGAGTTATTTATACAGTTCACACAGAATTTTATCACAGAATTGCCCTAAAATATTTAAGAGTGTCCTTTTAGACATTCTGCCTCAGTGTTGTATTGCTTTTGGATGTCTTTTTTGGAGGGGGAGGGAGCAGGATTAGTACTGGCGTTTTAACTCAGGGCCTGAAGCTTCTTAGGAAGGCACTGTTCCACTTGAACCATGTCACCATCCTGTTTTTCTCAATGTTAATGTTTCTATCTTCTGTTCCTTTTTGTGAATAATTTTGTAAACATTTTCATTTCTTCTTGAATAAGAGTTTTTCTTTTGACCTCAGAGTTTGGGATAATTGCTAGCCATGTGACCCTCCACCCTTTCTAAAATGCTTAGGTGGAAAACAGTCTGCCATTTGTCCTGCTTGCAGGGCGGTGGGTTTCAATTGTCTTTCTTCCTTTCTGTGCATCAATTATAAGCAATATCCTCTTATCTACTAGGCCTCTAGTATTCCCCAGAGTGCAAACAAAAAATGAGCTTGATTTCTCTTTTTCTAGCAATAACTCATTTCATTAAGCTTTTAGAATGATGAAGCATTATGATGTCAAACATGATGTCAACAGGAACCTTCTTGAATACCTAATTGGCAAAAGATTGTAAACATTAATAATTCATAGGCAGTACAATGATATCACATAGGTTTCCATTTCTGGTAAGAAGTTAGATTTGTCTCCCAATTGCTGTAAAAATATGACTTCCTAGCAATTTTTGTCCTCCTTGCTTGCCTTTTTTAAAAATAGTACTCCAACAGGAGAATCTTGGAGGATGCTCTCTCCTGATACTGGGCCAATTTTGTAATTCTCGTTTAGAAATCCTCAGAGGTATATGCTTGAACCTCTCTCTGGGAGGAACCAGGGATTCTTACAAATCTTACACCAGCTGTTGCTGCTTGGAAGCACCCAGGACTAAGAAGCCAGTTGTAGAACTTGCAGCGGTCTCTGTGGGTGAACTCTCATGGATACAACACAGGAGACTGTTACCTTTGAAATGGCGCTGTGTGCTGGTAGCTGGCATCTCCAGCTCCCCTGTCCTTCCCCTCCCTCTCTGTGGCTCATTGATTCATGTAGCCAGTATGGCTGCCAGACTCCAGGGTAAAGACAAAGGTGTTCTGGGAATAGCCAAGAAGGAGGTTATATCTCTTACAGAAGGATGTGGCTAAATCAAGTATTTGTGACCCTCATAATTTCTGTTTCTAGATATTACTCTATAATCAGTAAGTGTAATTCTGAGTTGAGTTTATACAAAGGAAAAAATAGATATTTTTCAGTTCTTACATTAAGAAGTTTTATTTGAGGAAGGGGTGGGGAAAACTATTTTTTAAATAGTCATTTTGTTTTCTAAGTTAGTACTCTTGAACTAGAATCACCTGGCTGGAGGGCTTATTGAACTATGTTCTGGGCTCTGTTCCTAGACTTTCTAGGTCTTTTCTGGGACCTGAGTTTGAATCCATTTACTTTGATTAATTTTGGGGGGTTTTGCATTTGTCAGGCAGGTACTTTGAGCCACATGCCAAATCCTTCTGATAGAGTTATTTTTGTGACAGGGTCTTTGCCCAGGATGCCTGCACTGTGATTCTTCTGTTTGTACTTCCCTCTATGACTGGGATGATAGGTGTGTGCCACCATGTTCAGCTGTTTTTCTATTGAGGTGCAATGTCAGAAACTCTTTTGTCCTAGTTGGCCTGGAAACTTCCTGAATATCTGGGATGACAGGTGTATCAAAATTCTCAGTGTTGGAGAGATAGAGATCTCTTGAACTTTGTCTAGGATTACTTGTCTTGAAGTAAAATCCTCCTAATCTTGGCCTCCCAAGAAGCTAGGGTTACTATATGTGAGTCATCAGGCCTGGCCTAAAATTTGAGTTTTTAAAATTTTATTTTTTATTTATCCTGAATTGTTTTTTGTTGTTGGTAGTGGGGCTTGAACTCTGGGCCTAAGCTCTGTCCCTCAGCTCTTCAGCTGAAGGCTAGCACTTTACCACTTGAGCTACAGAGCCACTTCTGGTTTTCTGGTGGTTTATTGGAGATAAGAGTTTCACAGACTTTCCTGCCCGGGCTGGCTTTGAACTGTGATCCTCAGATCTCAGCCTCCTGAGTAGCTAGGATTACAGGCATGAGCCACTGGAGCCCAGCTACCTTGAATATGTTTATTATCTTTTTTTTTTGTTATTGTTGTTCATGGGGCTTGGGTACTGGTTTGGGCTTGGGCCTGGGTGCTGTCCCTGAGCACTTCAGCTCAAGGCGAGTGCTCTACCACTTGAGCCATAGTGCCACTTCCTATTTTTATTATCTTTAAGGAGTTGCCATTCAACTCAGCAGTTTATAAATACAGTGTTTCTTGATCAATGTCACCCCTTTCAAGATTCT